AACCAGGTTTGATTTTCTCATAGATTTTCTCGGCTCACCTCCACTTCCGCCCACATTTTCTAATGCGAACTTTGCGCGCAATTTGTTGCCGCTGACAGCTGTGAGAAACGGAGAAAGGGAGAATTTGTTCCTGTTTCTCGTTTCTCGTTCCTCGATTCTCGTTTCTCTATCTCTGTCTGCAGTTGTTTTGCCATCTCTGTTGCCGCATTCAGGCCAGGATGTCAGCGGCAAATGCAACTGCAACTGCTGACATTCCCATTGTCCTGGAGACCTGAAAAGATATAGTCAGAGAAAGGGAAAGAGCGAGAGGGATAGGGGATAGGGGAGAGGGACAGAGAGGGCAAGAGGGAGCCAGAGTGTGTCACAAAATGCTAACGACATTTTGTTATTTACTTATTGCATTCATTTAGCTTGAAGATTCCCGCCCACTCCTTCACTCAATGTCTCCTTCTTTGTACAGAGTAAAAAAAAAAAATATAAATTAAAATTAAAATTAATTAAAATGAAATGCAACAAAAAAGCCGAATAAAAGTTTGCATGTGCAAGATTTAAAAAAAAATTGGTGTGGGTTCTATTTATGCTTTTTTAAAAAAATACCTATCAAGATATTCTAAAAGTGGGTAAAACTTTAACTTCCAAATACCTGTGAGTATTGAATGTCACCCATGTCATTTTTTATTTTTAAGACTTAAGGCGTTTAATAAACCATAATGTCATAATAATTTTTGTAGCAGAAATTCCAAGGACAAATTAAAATGAAAACTATTTTCGTTGCCTTTTTCTCTCTCTGTATGCGTCTTTTGCACATTTTTAATCTGGCTGCCTTTTGTATTGCACTTAACTTGGCTTGCAGTCTTGGCCCAATGCACTCGAACCCTCCCCCCACTCCTCGCCACACCGCTCTTTGGAGAATGCCTCACAGCTCCTTAGAATTTAGCCAGGAACAATGGGCTCGCATAATGGGGCAAATTGAATTTGAATTGCTTGGTTGGCTTGGTTAACATTCTAAGCGCACTCACACACTTAGAGCGAGACGGGTAGTGGGTGCAGAAAGAGACGGGGCGAACGTGTGCACGCCGGCCACATTTCAGATTCTCAATAATGCTTATTGTCAGGGAATTGAATGCGAAAACAATGCCATGTCCCAGAGTCCTCTTTTCTAGTGTCCTGCCATTGTGCGTGGCTCGGTAAATATTATTCTTCTTTAAAAATTGTCGAATGCCCAAGGATACAGCAGAAGAGGACCCCGGGAAGAGGGGGAGTTTTTTCTAAAAAATCTTAGAAGCACGAAAGGTTATGACAAGCACAAACCATTTGTCCCAAACAAGATAAATGGGAAAAAATTAGAGGCACAGAGATGGCTCATAGAAATCAATTGAAGTCGAGTAGAAAATCAACAGCGTATTATTTTTCCCTCGACCATTTTCCTGAATCCTTTGTGCGTTGTGGCAAATGACAAAGGAGCAATTATAAGGAGCACACAAGAATGTTGAAGGAGCTACAAGAGCCTCAGCTAAAATAGGGATTTTAATAGAGAGGCAGCGGTCCAAGAAGTGCTGAAAATCAAGCGAATTGTAATGCAATTGAAAAAAGTGATTACCAATTGGCAAGGTGTCTTCGCGATTGAGGTATCTATTATAGGAAGGCATTTTCAGGTAAATGTCCGAGGACGGGAACAATTTCAGATGGATTTTTGCAGAGGGAGTGAGGCCACACAACATGTTGGATTTCCTTTGATTTTGGTAAATGAATTAGGGGCTTTAAAATAAAATAAAAGTTTAATAGTAAAAAGCGGAAACCACATTTTGTGTTATCCTCTTTAAGAACTATGAAATGTCTTCACTATATTGAATATAAGATATTACTTTTTATAGCATTTTATTAGTGTAGAATAGGTATAAGAATTATAAACTAAAAAACTCAAAATATATTGAAATCTAAAAAAATAAATGTATGATATTTAAGAAAAAAATCATTCGTAAATTCGTATCAAAATCGATAAGATATAATCCATAAATAATTCTTAAGAAGGCAAGTCATCCTTCATCTAAGCACTTCCTTTTCGAAGGAGCAACCGGAAGCAAAGCGAGTTTCCCAATATTAATCTCCCTCAACTTGACCTCAGGACCGCAGCCGCAGGATACCTTTTCAATCCCATTAAAGAGCAATTCATTTAGCCTGGGCCGCAACTCCTCAATGGGTTAATCTCACCCGAATGCAATCTCCTTCTTAACATATGTATGCACAGACCGCAGAACCGAAATCCAGCATCCAGAAACCAGTCCCGAAACCCGAAAACTGAAAACCTGAAAGCCTGAAAACATGCACCATATCCGTTGCTCGCTGTCATGGCCGATTGAGCAAATAGCTAAGCCGAAATGCTAATCCTTTTTCCATTTTTTCATGGTTTCGCTGGGTGAGTTGGAAGTCCAGCATTTGTGCAGCTGTTGCTACGAAATTACTTTTTTTGTTTTTTTTTTGTGAGTATTTGAAAGGGACAAATCCACTGATCCACTTTGCGTACAGTAGCAGCCGCCTCCGTTGTTTTGACAAAATGTTTTTGTCGAGTGCCATTGACTTTGGTGGCAGTCGGTAGTTGGGAGTTGGTAGCTGCAACTGCAGCCCGCATTTACCTGGCAAATGATGATGACAACTTCCGCTCCCGGCTAAAACCCTCAAACCGCCCAGCACATATTTTAATTTTCGAAACAATCCAGCAAAACAAAATACGAGAAAATCAGTGAGACACACCAAAGTCGAACGGAACACGCCGAGAGTTGTCCTGTCCGGCCACGTTAAGAGGATTATGTCCTGGCAGAATGCGAATACGAATGTGTGGGGGTAAACTCGCAATTTTTATGAATATGGAAAAGCCGCTTTGGACGGCGGAGGAAATAATAACAAACTAACGAAACTTCAAACAAAAACAGGGCAACAATGTAGTTGGGTCGGGTTAAAATGTTATTAGAGCTGAGCAATGATTACATAACCGAAAACCAATTTGAAAAGAAATTGTTTCAGGAAAAATGGAGAAAGCTGTGCTTGAAATGGAGCTTAGATTATTTAAGAGGGTGAATATTAAAGAAATGTGTGAACTTACAACTTAAATACTGGAGATATGTTTAAAATATCTTCCTGAAAAAAAGGTTTATTAAGCATTTGTTTGAAACGTTCAGCGAAAGAATGCTTTTCTCTTTAGACATTATTTTGTGTACAATTGAAGATCTCCAATTATATATTTTGAACTAACTTCAAGTACTGACACCTTTATCAATGCTTTTCAATCACTTAACATCTGCATGTCACACTCCTCGTGTACTTTATTTACCATATCTGATCTCATGCACTTGGTTTTTATTTATGGAATCTTATTTCCCCACATGAATACTTACCCAACCCAACTTACCCAACTGTCTCCCCAATGGAATGCAATATCCAAAGTTGTAGTAGTCCCCCTGCATTAATTAGTTTCGCTCTTTGCCAATTTGTCACAGAGCCTGATGTCAATGCTCGGAAAATGGGAGGGCGAGATCTTGAACTCCACCCAACGGAACTGCCCCTTTCGAAGGTCTTAAAGTCTTAGCCAGAGGGACTTTAAGTTTTGGCGCCCATAAATATGCCATAAAACTATTTGAACGGTCGACTAGATAAAGGGGGCGGACAGTCGGCGAGCAAGTGTAGCAAACAACCAAAACAACCACCAGACCACCAGACTTCTGGGACTACCAACTAGATACTCCCCCTCTCCTCCCGGCCCATAACAAAGTTAATAATAATAAAGCAGGGGCGGAGAAGTCAGGGGCACGCCCCAGACAAAGTCCCCGCCAAATACGATTACAATTTGTTACACTTACGCAGCACAAAAGTCGTCAGCCACCCCGCGTCATCCCATATTCTCATTCTCATTCCGAGTCCGATTCCCATTCCCATTCCCAAGACCAAAAACTAGAACCACCAGTCCATCTTTTCCGTGGAGCTGGGACGCCAAACAGTCGCCAGTTGTTTCGTCTTTCGTCTTGTGGTTATACAAATCTCCAGACTGGCATCAAAAGCAGCAGCAGCAGCAGCATCGTAGAACCAGAAGCATCAGCAACCTGACCAAAGAAATGCCCAAACGAATGTCCGCATAAATCAGAGCATGGTTTGGGTTGAGACACAAAGGGGAAGCTGCCACATCGGCTGCCCAAGGGGATGTTTCCGTCTAATCAAAATCAAAGCAAAGGGGAACGCCACACTGAACAAAATCGCCAAGGGCTTACTTCATTTTACATTCAAGGTTGCAAGTTTGTGGCATGTAAAACAGAAATCTCAATCTTTATTCGGTGGTTGGCTTAATTAATTGAAAATAAAAAAAGAAAATGGTTTAATAGAGTTATAAAAATATTATGAAGTTGATAATAATGCTGCATGGTAGCATATAGAGAATATAATTTGTATTTATATCCTTAAACAATTTTATTGTAGAATTAGATTAACAAAAGTAACCACAGGTTTTACTCTTCAAGTGATTGTGCATACAATTTTATACACATCCCTTTGGGTTTTGGTTTTCTGTGTAAAACCATTTAGAAACTCACCGAGGAGAACTATGAAAAGGTTAAAGGGGAAGTACACTCCCCGAAAAGAGCGCACACTCTCGTTCGACGATCAGCCGATGCCAATTAATTTATCAAAGTCAGTGTAGTCGAGGAAGAAGCATTTTCAAGACAAGGCCACTGGGAATTAAACGACAATGAACGATCCCCATTCATTGGGTTATTAATACGGCACACTCTACAGATCCTCACAAGATCATCGGGGAATCGATTCCGGAAGCGGCTGCAGTTGCCATCGACATTTCTTTTCTTTCTTTCCATTCTTTCCCTTCGCTCTCTCAGGTAAACTCATTTGACTTTTATTAATTACAACTAGATTTTTATTTATAACCAACAAATTGTTCACAATTTATCAAATTGGCTTAGTGAGGCCTTCGTGTATGTACACCTATAAACGAGTAGATACATAATTATCAACATGCTCAGAGACGATCGCTGTATTTGAGCTTCTGCCAGCCAGCCCTTTGCCGCTTCATTTCCCGGTAGCTGTTGGGCAGGCCGTAGAAAAAGTATATGGACAGTCCTATATAGTATGTGTGGAGAACCGATTAGTTAACGTATTTGGAGGTATCTTAGGCATGCACTAGTTCTGACGTTTTTAATACCATTTAATATAATACTTTTACGACTAGTTTGAGTTAGCTAAGCATGCTTCGTAATTAATTGGTGATTGTGAGGGGATAGGATTAAAAGGAGTTTCTTTAACTTATTTATTATATTTACATGTTTGTCTCATTATAGCACTTATTAAGCACCCTGGGTGCCGAAGCATTTATAAGAAATCTAACCAAGGCAAACAGTTAAACTCAATTAATAAATTACATAAGATTTGAAAAATAATTTATCGCTCTTCAAAAACTAAACAACCATAAATTTTCTCTTTCCGTTAGCAGTTATTTCTTCACTTTGTTAGCAACTCCTTGTTTTTCTTTTCCGTTTCACTCTTTATGGCAAATCGTGAAGGACCCTTCGTAGCGGACCACCTCCTCCCTCACAAGCCACCTGGTACTTATCGTCTAGGATTGCTGGCACTCCGTACTAACTACGAACTAGTAACTACAGCTACAGCTAGATACATATGTACAAAACAAGCTACATTTGCATTCCGATTCGAATGCGGGAGTTAACTACTTTTAACCGGGGGAAAATGGCACCCTCTTTGGTTTCACCAGGGGCGATGGGTTGTGTGTGAAGGGGGCTGCTATATAATGGGTGAACCCCCCTCGGTTCTCGGCACTCAGCTGTCCCCCTCCTCGACTTCTATGTAGGTGGACTGCGGACGTTGGCGACGCACCAATTCCGGATGCTGTTGGGTTCGGTGCGAGGGACCCCGCTGCAATATGGCCTCCAATTTGGCTTTGAATGGCACCGGCTCGGACTGCTCCGGTTGCTCCGGCTGCTCACCGGGATCCGGACGCGCCTCCGCCTGCGAATCCGGTGGCAGGAGCGCCGCGTTCTTGGCATCCACGATATGCTGGCGACTTAAACTGGGTCGCTGCTTGCGCAAACTAATGCTGTTGATGGTCTTATATAGCACCGGATCGAATTTCGGTGGACGCGGTATGCTGTTGGCAGCCGTAGCCGCCGCATCTGCAATCCGAACTGGAGCAGGTGGGGACTTCGGGGTGGTGGGCACTCCGGCGAGGTCCTCATCAGCATTACCAGTCTCATTATGGTCGATTTTCCGCTCGCTGATGGCCTTGAGCATTAGGCGACGCACATCGGTTTCGCTTTTCGATTGCTTTAGTGGTGGCCTTGCTCTCGGCTCCTCCTCCTCCTCCCCGTTGCTCCTCTTGACAGGAGGAGGCCCCTTCACCTGGTGGGCATTGGCATTCATAATGATGTGGCTTAAGCGGTCTTTAAACTTGGCCGAGTGCAGCGGATCCTCAATCGCGGAGGCCTGGGATTTGAGGGAAGTTTGAGAGGCCAAACGCTGCAGTACGAAAATTGGTTTTGGCTCCAGCGACTCCTTCACTGATTCCGCATCCTCATCTAAGTTATCCCCTTTCAGTGGGGAAGCCTTTCCGGCTTTCATCTTTTCCAGTTGTTCATAGAAAGCCTCGCTGTTGAACAGGTCCTCCAGCATTTGATGGGCCACCAATTTGCATTCCTCGTAATTACTCAGTTTACCTATTTTACTCAAGTGGGAAATGCCGCTGTGGACTTCATCGTCATCGCTGCTGCTGTGAACGGTGGCCACAATGACAGTTTCTATAACACTCGGATACATCTCGGAGTCAAGGCTAAAGTGCCGCTCAAAAATCAGCTGTTGCTGGAGGTCCAACTCCTGTTGACTTGGCTGAATGTCCACTGCGTCCAGGACATCGTCCAACATGGCAATAACCGACTGTTCGTCCTCGCGCGTTGGAAATTCATTATCGCCGCCCAAAGTGGCAGTGGAATTCTCACTCTTTGAGTCTTCCACATAGAAAACCTTTCCATTGGCATGCTTAACTTCAATCAAATCTTCACCAACATCACTTAGATTCTGGATTTTATCCAAGCTGCTGGTGGGACTTTTCTTCAGCTGCGTTTCCAGGGTCAGGACACTCTCATTGGAAATACAGTGATACTCCTGCTCTCGACTTTCCTGCAGACCCTTCAGCGCCTTGTAGAAAGCCCACCGCTCGGGATTTCTCTTCTGCGGATTCTTGCTATCGTACAGATACCAGCATGCAAGGAATATGGGAATACCTAGGACATTTAGGTTAGTACAAACGTGCCACATGCATCACACTTCTACCACATGCAAAAGGATCTTAGGTGTGGAGTCCGACTCACCCACAATCATCCAGACCCCGAAACGAATCCACGTCCAAGTGTCCAGCTGGAGCATTAGATATATGTTGATGAAGATACTGATGGCGGGAACAACCGGCACAAATGGCACTCGGAATAATCTGCGACGAGCTTCTCTGGGCTGAAGGCAAATTAGCAGGATCACCAGGAACATCAACAGGACTAAAACAACTAGGAGACTTAAGGCCCAAATTTCTTTTGCGACAATCAAGGAATGAGCTTGCATAATCAGCACTCCAATACCCAAGGAAATCAGGCCTAAAAGTTTTTATAAATATCAATAGTTATATTAATATAAAATTGTATTTATTAAACTCACAAAACAATGTAGCCAGCACTCCCACAATCCTCGAGGATATGGAATTTGGTTCCTTGATCCTGTGCACATTGAAAAGTTGTGTGCAAACCGAACCGCAAGTAAATCGCTCAGCACTCGAAGTCAAAGAAGTGGTTTCCGAAGCTCTAACTTCCCTCTGTCCTGGATTCTCCTCCTCGCAGTAATCCATATATCGGAGGAGCATTATAGATATGGCCACAACGCTGTAGGCCAACAAAGTGCCGATGGACAGCAGGCTGACTAATTGAGCCAAGTCGAAAAGTCCAGCAATTGCGGCCGTGAAAAGAGCTGACACAATGGATCCAGTGACGGGTACTCGGAATCTTGGACTCACTTTGCCCAGAAATTTGAACAAAAGGCCATCCTGGGCCATGGAGTACATCACTCTGGGCAGTGGAAATAGGGCTCCAAAAAGACTTGCCATCAGACCCACCAATCCACCAATGGTGACAATCCACATGGCTGTTGGCCAACCAACGTATTCGAAGGCATAAGGAAGCGGTGCGTTGGCATCTTGGAGATAATATGGCAACATTAATGTAAGTACAGTGGACACTCCGAAATAACACAGGAAGATTATCAGCAGAGAGAGCAGGATCGATTTCGGTATATTTTTGCGAGGATTGCGAACCTCTTCTCCAGTTGTGGCAATGCAATCGAATCCCACGAAGCCAAAAAAGCAAGTGGCAGCTCCTCGAAGAGTTCCCTCGAATCCAAAGGGGAAAAATCCTCCTTCTCCAATTGTGGAATTCGTGCTGACAGTACTCGGATCCACCGTCCAGTTGGAAATGTCGGCTGGGGTTAAAAAAACAAACAAATAATTAATTAGAAAAACACAATCTGAACTTGATTCTAACTATCTTCAATCAAGATAAATTTAGTATGTTGTTAAAACATTTTTGAAAATAGAAGTAAACAGGTAATCTAATGTTGTTGACCTTTTTGTATGCTTAGGAACTTAGAAGTACATTTCAGCTAGGCATTTCCTTTTCTGTACTTATCTGTGATTATTTAATAAAATATTTACCTTTAATGGCGCCAGCTATGATGACGAATCCGAGAATAAATATATTAAGACACGTTACAAAGTTGTTAGCCATAGTGGATGTCTCCACTCCAAAGGCAAGAGCCACTAAAGAAAAACAGAAACTATTAATAAGTGAAAATCACTTATACTACATATTTTATCACTTACCACCAAAAACAACTACTAATCCGAAGGCTAAGAAGTCGAAGTAGCTCCCCAAAAAACTTACATTCATGGGAGCCACTTCTGCAAATGTGTTTTTCAAGGTGTCATTCAGCAAGGAGTCTAAATAGAGACTGATACCCCTACAAACACTCGCGGTGCCAATGACATACTCCAAAATAAGATTCCAGCCAATGACGAAGGCCACAAATTCTCCAATGCAAACATAACTATATACATATGCCGATCCCGCTTTGGGAACTCGAGCTCCAAATTCCGCATAGCAAACTCCTATAAATAACAAATAGTTATATATTGGTTTAGTCACTTTTACTAAAGCTTTTGTATTTATCTGAAAATATTTTTATATTTTTATATTTACAGAAATTTATGGGACATATTTTTTATTTATTTAAGAGCATACTCGAGTATTTTTGTGATTGATTATTATTATTTATTGGTTATATCATTTTTTAAGCTTTAAGGTTTATTCTCTTTTTATATGATTATTGTATAGTTGATTTACTAATTTCTTCAATGTATTCACAATCAAACTCACCCGCTAGCAGCGAGGCCAGTGCGGCGATGGCAAATGATATCATCACCGAGGGACCCGCCTGATCCTTGGCTATCTGTCCGGCCAGCACGTAGACCCCTGCGCCCAAGGTCGATCCCACTCCGAGGGCCGTGAGGTCCCATAGACCCAGCACCCGATTCAGCTTCGTCTCCCCCTCGGTTCCATCGGCCTGGAGATTTTTGCGCCGGGTGAGTACTTTCCAGGGCGAGATTTGGCGAACCATTTCTCCGTATCTCTCTCACGATTTGCGGGGAGTTCAGTAAACCCCAAGATTCTGGAAAGGCAGGAATTTCAGAATTGCACTCAGCAGAGGCTTAGCCAAGATCATAATGCACTTCGATCTACGTATTGTCTTATCTTGTGACGACGCACGATTGTATAATGCAAATAATTGAGCTCAAATTGTAATCGTTAATGGCGAGGCTATTGTGGGCTGCGAGTTTGAACTCGATTGCTCCACTTAGAATTCGGTATATGTACAAAGGTAATCTATATGTCGGGAGTGGTGCATACGGGAAGGTTTCAGGGTTGGGGGACTTGTGATGGAAAAGTTTTCGGATGCACCTTTCTAGAAAGTTTTTAATCAGTTTGACTTACCTAGTTAATTCAACAAAATAGTAATACAAATTAAAAATCACTTATTCAACTATTGCCTGTGTTTTTCCTGAAAGCTTTTAGTTATTATAAAATTTTTTTATGTAAATTCTGAGTGCAACATCTGATAAATGAATTTTGTAGCAAATAATGACAAAGATTATAAAAAACGGTAGGTGTTTTGTAAATTAATCTTTTAAATCCTTACTGCATTCGCTGTGTATCATAATTTTTCTTGTATTTTCCCCGCAGGTGACTAATCAAAACACCCCACCCACACCTTTTCCTTATAAAAATACTCATCACTTTGATAAGAATCAGATGCTCAAGTTTTTTGCCTACAATATCTGCCTCAACTTTGTTTGCCTTTCTATTATTAAGTTTATAATTCGTTTGCTCTCCGCTTACGAAGATAATTAAGTGGGTCTAGGTGAGACCACCCTACATGTCGAATGGAAACTTATGCTGTATTTATATAATTATGGTAAACTTGGCACTTCACTCACCGCCTTTAAAACAGTTTTTCTCGCTTTTTCTCGCTTGACAACTATTGCAGTTGTTGCATTTGCAGTGCACTCTGGGCAAATATTTTCGTCTTGCCTTTGTTTGATTCTTATTAATGAATTGAAAGTCTATTATTAATTTCCGCTCACACAAAACAATACAAAACGGACAACAAAAGCGGGACTGACACACTTGGCGATCTGGGAGCGTCTGTCTGCAGGCTGTCGGCTTCGCATTACAGCCGCGAATTCTTCGCGAACTCCTCCTAAGATAAGACCACCAGGCCAGCGAGCCGAACTCGAACCGCCTCCTCAGGCCGACGAGTGTTAGCCATCAGCGTAGAGAGTGGGTACACGGCGAGAAAAGAAGTGGTTCTGCAGGAGCAAGTATAGGTTTAAAGAGTGGAACTTAAAATATCACAACAAATTTTAAAAGAAAACATTTTAATGGGACTGAAAAAGTTATTTACGATCTATATATTGCCTCGTACTTCAATGGTAATGTATTCATTATATTAAAAAGTTTTGATCTTTGCACTGTATATAAACAGGAAGCCATAAAATATGATTTTCAAAGGGGAAACAATCTCAAACTGTAAACTATAATACTTTAGTGTTGAATTTTCATATATTTGTAGATACAAAGATTCAAAATCGAGAGCACAAAATATTTTTTTCTATTGCATAAATTATCAGAAATGGCAATTAAGATTCGTATTCTTATTTATTGCCGAGTTGAATAGTTCTTTGCGAGTAAAAACCTAATATAGTGGAGAACTTTACTGTTTTATTTTCAGTGCACGCCCGAAGCAAAGCTGATAAGAGACGAAGTCGGCTGGATTTATATGAGATAAGGCCCTAGACGGGGGATCGGTGGGTTTCCGAGATGATCTGGGTTGTAATTAGAGCGAATACAAAAAAATTAGCAGGTGTGCGAGAGGGAGGGGGCGAAGGAGCGAGGGAGAGGGGCTGAGTCACACAGTGTGACGTCGACGCATGTTGCTGCTGTGTTTTTGATGTTGCTGCTGCGATTGCTGCTGCTGCTGCTGCTGTTTCACTTTGTTGTTGTTTTCCGACTTTCGGTTTTATGATCTTGCGATAGCGAAACGACAGATTTTTTTTGTTTTTGTTTTTCGCCGCCACTACAAGCAATTCCAGAACTGTGTTATTTATGTTGTTTCAGATAACACTGTTTGTATTCACGTTTTTACTTCATTTCCGATCTGCCGTTTTTTCGGCTTTAGATTTGGGCATTCATACTTTTCTCCCGCTCGTTCTGCTATCTCCCTTTCGCGGCGTATCACTCTCTCTTTCGCACTGCCAAACGGGCCGCGGTTGTTGACGGTTTCGGTGTATAGCGTTAACTGAAAGTGTAAGATAATATTCTGGCCGCTATATAGAGAGAGCGCTACGAGAACTGGCCGTCTATATAGTGGAATGCAGTAACAATATCGCACAGGCGAACACAATTATAAATGCTTTCTGCTGCTCGTCTTCTTCCCTCTGTTATTGTTTTCATTGTTTTTGGTCTAGATGTTGCTGTTTTTATTGTCGTTAGCTGTCGAGTGTCAATTTGTAGATTTTATGGAGTGGTTAAGTCGGTTGATAAGCTCGGATGCGCTCCACACAATGATTTCAATCAGACGCATTGTATTTACTTACATTTCCCTTAATTTATTTTAAATCAACTAAGCAAGTAAAACAAAAACGTAACCAACTGCATTCGATTTGGAGCACCCAGCTTATCTCACTGAAATCTACAATTACGTAAACTCGGATCATATATGGAGGTGAATGAATCGCTTTATTTCATAATTCTAGATATGATTTACTGATACGAGATAAGCCGATTAAACAAATCTGCTTTGATTGCGTTGTTCAGGTGTTGATTCTTTCTTTATAAATGGGGCTCTTCAACCGATTATCCAGAGCGTTCCAACAATTTTTACTTGTAAATTCCACATTTGCATTGGCGAATTCTTGGCACTTTACTAAATTTGTTTGAAAACGAACGCAATCACTAACAGCTGTATAATTATCTGTAAATGATTAGGAGTGTTGTTAAGCCAAACCCAAATTTTATTCCGTTTATTATCACGTGTGTATTACTCACTATCATCGGTTTTATGTTAGATACTTCAGGTATAAATTTTCATTTCAAATTGAAGCACAATCTGAACATTAGACGTTGATTTTGATAGATTCATTTTTGATTGCAAATAAAAGTTAACTTTTAAAGATTGTTAACATGCACTAAAAACATGTATTACAAATTCAAAAATAATTATTTTAATGTGGTTTTTTAGAGGAATTATTTATTTATTAAAAATATGAGTGTTTAAAAATTCTTGATATTATTTTTTTGTGTTTTGGATAATTATAGGGAATTATTTTAACCAACTCAACAACTAAATGCTGATAAGACTTTCGAAATGCTCGTGTGAAGAGTCTGAAGTTTTGCCGATGGAGTGGGAAAAAATCACTGCATTGCCACACAGAATGTTTGCCGGGGTATTAAAATTTTATTGCACCTTCTTGAGGCCGCCAGACAAACATATATCCGAGCATATAGGAGAAGGAGCCATGAAGCAGGAGGAACAGGAGGCAACCTCATCACATGTGCGGGCAAGAGCGTGTGGCAAATTGGCCTTTGTGGGTTGTCTGCTGGCCTGGCGGCAAATATAAATGATCTAATTTAAATAATTACGCCCACAAAATGTGACGCGCCTACCAAATTGCCTTCGTTTAATGCTTGAGTGGGAAAATTACCCCCCGGCCAAACCGAAGACTAGAACTAATTTCAAAGTTGGCTTTGCTTATGGCCTCACAAAGTGTTTCCCCCTTTCCATTCGCATTGGCATTGCCAAGTCGATTTCCCAGCCGTTCGGTGTTATTAAAGTTTTCCAATTGACAATTTTCGGGTATGACTGTCTCATACACCGCCGAGGTGGCAACTTGCAGCCACTTCGGATGTTTTTGGAAGCTTTTGATGAGGTGAGACTTCTTCGATTTTCCCAAAAAGGCTATAGTATATATATATGATTATTTTACATATCGGCAGATGGCGTGCGAGCATCTACAAGATTATCTGGGTGGATCTGCTGGCGTTTTTGTTCTGCTACTACTTAATGGCTATCATTTACCGTTATGCTCTAAGGACAAGCGATAAAGCGTAAGTGTGTAAATGGTTTCTAATTTTCTTTAAATAAGAATCCTAAATATACTTATTTATTTTTTGATTAATAATAATCCTTTCCCCTTAATACTTCCCCAGGATTTTTGAGGATATTGTGATGTACTGTCACAGTTATAGTAACCTGATTCCGCTATCCTTCGTCTTGGGTTTCTATGTGGGCATCATAATCGAGCGCTGGTGGAGTCAATATATCACGGTTCCCTGGCCCGATCCCTTGGCGGTTTATGTTAGTGCTTTAGTACGTGGTCAAGATGAACATGGTCGTCTGATGAGACGCACAATAATGAGATATGTTTGTTTGGCCTTGACCATGGTTTTATCCATGATATCGCCGGTTATTAAGAGGCGTTTCCCAACTTACGAGCAGTTGATTGAAGTGGGTCTACTGAATGCTAATGAGGCGAATATTATTAAGGCAATGGATGTCAAGTTTCCGAAGCACCCGAAATATTGGATGCCACTTGTCTGGGCCGCCAGTATTGTCACCAGAGCCCGAAAAGAGGGTCGCATTTGGGATGATTTCTCACTCAAATCCATGATTGATGAACTGAATAAATTCCGAGCTGGGTGCAATATGCTCATTCACTATGATACGATTTCGGTTCCGCTGGTTTACACTCAGGTTAGTCAGGTAAACGTTTAGTTAATACTTAGATTTTTACTTTTTTTATTTAGGTGGTAACCCTGGCAGTTTACTCCTACTTCGCGGCCTCAATTTTTGGACATCAATGGATTGATCGGGAAATTAAGCATCACAATAATGTTGTGAGCTACTATTTCCCTCTATTTAGCACTCTGGAGTTTTTCTTCTTCATGGGCTGGCTGAAGGTGGCCGAAACCCTGATTTGTCCCTTTGGCGACGATGACGATGACTTTGAGTTGAATTGGCTGATTGATCGGAATATACAGGTCAGTTACTTGATTGTGGACGAGATGCACAACGACCATCCGCAGTTGGTGAGGGATCAGTATTGGGATGAGGTCTTTCCGAACGAACTGCCCTATTTGGTGGAAGCGGAAAGAGCCGAACATCCGGAAGCCTCCACCGCTCGCCTGGGCATTCCAAAAGGCGCTCATGTTGCATCCGCAAAGAGCGAAGTTAGTAACGAAGACGATTATACCGAATTCGACGATGAGGATGAGGTTAATCCCGAAGTGACGATCAAATTCGCTCGTCGCTTGTTGAGTTTGAGCAATAGTAGTTCCGTTTCGCTATCGTTATCGGTGTCGGGGAACCCGAGCAAGGATACCCTCAGTTTAGATGGCATGGGTGCCGAGGAGGGTGAAGGCGAGGGGGATCTAAGGACTTTGAATTCCGACAGCAAGGACGACTTCGAACGACTGAAGGAGAGACGCGAAAAGGAGCGTAGGAACCGGCAGCTCCAGCAAACCGCCCTCGCCATGGAGTTAATGAAAGGAGAGCTGGCATCGAATGCAGGGTCAGCAGGATCAAGTCGAACTAACGTACCGCAGAAGGACTCTACAGTCCAAACCGACAGAAGCTACACCAGTCAGAGGAAAAGAGAAAAGGATAAGGACAAAGAAGATGAGTAATAAATAAATCAAGAACAATAATGATCAAAAATAGGGAACAATAAAAAAATACACCACAAATTAAAATAAATGATGGTATTAATGGAAAAATAATGGTTTTTCTAATGGATTAATTTTATGAATAATTAGATAAATAAGGTTCTTGATTATCCAACAATTTAATGTACATTTCAATGGAATATTTTGTATGAAAAGACTCCTGAGGTGTTATTTTGTTCATGTGCTTCATGGTTTCTCTTTTGTATTCTTTTACTCTTGTTTTTCTGGCTTATTTGAAGGATGTGCCTTGCTATTTGACATAGTATCCTGCTGGGTCGCATCGCCCGCTTCCTGGTCCTCCAATAGAGTTTGATCGGACGGAGGACGAAGAACAGTGACTGTGTAAGGAGCTCCAGTAGGATCGTGGTGAAGATGCGTACTGCGCATATCCAAAAATCGGTGGCGTATGCGCTCCCTGCGTTCTCGACGGCGTTGTTCAATAAGCTCGTTGAAATCAACTGTATAACAAAAAGATATTATAAATAATAAATAAATATGGAATGGATGAATACTTACTTGTTGATTGCGACGGTTTCAAGGAGCTTTGTGGATCATCTTGGTCGGACACAAACTGATTTTCACTAAAACTCATTCCCGATGGTCCTTCTTCCATTCGAAAGGAATCTGAGTAACTCCCTGTGGCAGATGGTCTCCCCAGGAAGCTCTGTCTGAAGTTGTGATGAGAACGGGTACTATAGGTCGATTGGAGAGATCCAGGGCGACTTTTCTGTAGTGGCAAACGATTGATTAATTACTGAAAGTAAGATATTGTGTTTAAGAAAACAAACAACCTTGGATTGGGCTTGGGTTTCCATGTAGGCCGTAGATGCTGCCGGTGGATTGGAACGCATCTTTGGCACGGTATAGGGTATTTCATTCGGAAATACTTCCTCCCAGTATTGATCCTTGACAAGTTCCGGATGCTCCTGGTGCATCTCGTCCACAATGCAATATGAAACAGTGAGATTGCGATCAATTATCCAATTAAGCTTAAGGACAGAACAATAATTATAATAATATATTGCATAATAAAATGTAAACTAGCCAAACCGATCTTACCTCGAAGTCGTCATCATCCTCGCCGAAGGGGTTTATCAAGGTCTCCGCCACCTTGAGCCAACCCATGTAGAAGAAGAACTGAAGGACGGTCAGGATGGGGAACCACCTCATTATACTGAGTCCATCCTGGTCCGATTTCGTTTCACTCCACTGCTGACCCAGGAGGCTGAACAGGAAGAACGAGTAAGTGGCCACGGTGACCACCTGGGTGTAGACCAGTGGCACACTAACCCAATCGTAGTAGAGCAAAAAGCCACACAATCCGCGAAACTGATTCAGCTCGTCGATGATTGTCTTAACGGCGTAATCATCGCGGATTTTATTCTCCCTCCGCGCTCTTATCACAATGCTAGCTGCCCAGACGATGGGCATCCAGTGCTTCGGGTAAGAGGGAAACGCCTGATCCAGGGTCTCGATAATCTTTTTTTCATTCTCCAACAGAAAGCCAGCTTCTACGATTTGGTTATAGGTGGGAAATCGGCGCTTAACACGCGGTGAAATCATTCTGAAAACGAGCAACTGGCACAGACAGACATATCTCAGGATTGTTCGCCGCATCACTCGAGCTCGGTCGTCGAAGCCATGGATACTGGTGCTGATTAAAATGGCGATTCCATCTGGCCAGGGAATGGTGGTATACTGCTCCCACCAACGATTCATCACGATCCTTACGAAGAACCCCAGCACGAAGGACAATGGAATGAGGGAACCATTCCTCTCGCAATACGATATGATGGCCTCGAAAAACTTCTTTCCCGCGTCGTTCATCAGCAGGCGATATGTTATGGCCAACAGGCAGTACAATCCGAAGAACACAATCAAATCTGGCCACATCAACTTGTAAATACTTCCGCGCCATCTTAAAACAAATTAAACTTTGAAGGAGAAGGAGTAAAAGATTTTATTTGGAATACTTACCTTACCAGCAAACCCAAAAAATTGCTGAAAACGCTAAATGTGTTCACACGAGATGTATAGGTCACAGTCATGATTGAACGTTTATATTTAACAAATTTAATTCACAGGCAAAAATAACTGACAGTTTAAGCCAAGATAACTAAAGCGGAATAAAATTTATTTTCTATTTTTTGTTTATTTTGTGTTTCATTGAATTTATATTGGGCTTAATGCAATGTTTATTTTAATAAATTCGACGAAACCGGTTAGCTGTTTGAAGACAATTGCTTCGGAAATGATTTGAAAGTACTTGATTAAAAAAGTGATGGCGAATCAACAATACGTGTCTTTTCCATCCAAATGATATCCTTTCCTCCTGAAAGTAACTCATTGATAATTTTATTTATGCCAAAACCATTTCCATTTTGTTTTCTTTTATACCCTGCAGCTGTAAAAAAATGTGGGGGTATATGGTATAGCTATTTCTCTCACAAGTTGTAAAAATAAATTTCATACATCATCCCTGAAGGCGGAATATTTAGTTATTTTTAGAATCAATCTATTGAGTATCCTGAAGTCGTATGTTTGGTGCCCAACATTTTCTACTTGTTTTTATTTACCTTTTCGAGGCCTCCCGCCGAAACTTCAAATCGAATTCATTGCTTCCTGTGACAAAGATTGCCTTTGATGCGTTAAGACAATACGTACAGTTTTGTGAATCATTTATAAACCACAATGCCCATGTGCTTTTGTCATGTGCCAGAAAAGTCCTTCCTGACAGCGGAAAAACCACATGAGCAGCGGCTGAAAAAAGAGGATATCCAACGGGCTCTCATTGTGCGTTCCATTATCATAACCAAACATGGAAAATCTGACGCGATGCGTGTTATTATTTTTTACACTTGACAGCGTTTTCCGCGCTGTAAAAATCGCGACAAAAACGAAATGAAATTACATTGGCGTGCCGCGCGAGAGAAAGGAAAAACTATGGCAACTTTTCATATAACATATTAAATACTCAGATTGGGGTTGACTGAAGGATAAAATAATTCCGATTCCGCTCACCACTTAACTCATTTGGGGCATTATTGGGGTTTGTTTTTATTTGCAGTTCCCTTTGCGTTTGTGCTTTCCAATTTATAATTACAGATCGATATGTTGGCGTTAAAGCGGTCGCACTCTTTTTGTAAACATGGAAAAAAACTTTTGAAGTTGTACCCCTACTAATTAAAGATTTTTAGTTATAAAATTAAAATTTAGAAAAGACTTGAGAACTAGTTAATTTTATTATTTAATTGCGAGTTAATAATTTAAGCTTCCTGTAGTTATTTACCCATCGATTGATTGTACTCCTTTGATATTTAAACATAAATATAAAATAAAAAAATTAATTCAATCACTTACTACCAATAAAGGTATTATATTTTTTTCTGAAATTAAGTGCTTAGGTCATTGTAAAAACGTTTAAAGTCATCAAGAGGACTCGACTAATTGGCCCTACTGTCATCACATCAACTTGTTATTTCGACCAGAGGCCGTAACCAATTCGCGTATGCCCCGTGTCCTCGGGAACAATTCAGGCAGATATGTGGCCATAAATATTTCATATTTGCACATCGCGTAGTTTGTGTTTTGTCGCCTGCTGCTCCTGATTGATGACGCGGTTGAGGATTGCAGATGCGGATTTTCATCCCGCGATATTGGGGGGCTGCACAAAAAGGGGTTAATTTAATTTCGCGCTCGGGCGAATTTGTCCATAATTGGCAATTAGCATTGACCATTGCCATATACATATTCGCCGAACGAAGCCATGGCAATCATCGCCGTTCTGGCCATCATCTCACACGGTCAACTTCCAGCATGGCCAGCAGAACTCCGAGCCAGCAAAGAGTTTGCATTTCTGCATTTGCCCATTGGCAACCAATATTTGCCTGACGGTTGTTCCCTCTGATGTTGTTTTTTGTGACCATTTTTCAAAAAGGGCAAACAAAAAAACTACCAGAATTATTGAGGCGTTGCAACAATAATCATCGATTCGATCTTCCTGTCAATGAATTTACAGCGTTGGAATTATTGATAGCAACAATGTTTCGTTCACGAACATTTAAATATTGAAATGGACATGGCAAACAGAATAAATGCTCTTCGATACAAGAAAAATACTTAATTGTTATTTGCAGTTTGCAGTTTACCCATTTCCTTTGAATGTTATATTTGTTTCAATATTATATAATAATAAAAGTGTACTTAATTTTAAAAAATACATCATCGCTTCTAGCATTTTATTGGCAACTGTAGATGGTTGCACTGCCTGATTGCAGCTGCCTCGTGTCATTAATTGCAACACAGTCATGCAAAATGCGTTTAACGCGAATGTTTTTTCAAGAATTGGGTTGGGGTTTTCCATGTGTTTTCACACCATTTTTCAAAGTCAATTTCGGTTGATTTTTAATGCGACCTTTGGGAAGGAGCATTAGGTAGTTTTATTTCGATACCGTCCCATCTCTACCGCTTGATTAGGAATGATGAGGGTTGGTAGGGAGGCGAGAAAATAGGTTCGAATACATTCAACAAGCTGAAATTGATGAGAGTGGCCCTCAGGTAGGATTGGGTTGGAAATGGAATGGCCCCAGGGAAAAATCAAGACATTTTTTCAAATATATTTTTTGTAGAGCTAACACTGATTTGTGGCGGAGTTCCAGAGGTTATTCCCAGTTTGTAGTTAATTTCCATTTTAATATAAAAGTGGTAAAAGGGTTTCCTTATTTTACGTTAAGAATCTATTCCGTGTTTTACAACCCTTTGTAAGTTGTGCAACATAACTGATACTGATAAACACAAATCAAAATTTGATATATTATATACATAATTAAATTTCTGAAATATACTTTTTATACATTTTACAAAATAAATAAAAATTTAAAAAATTAAGGTTTATTCATTCTTATCGCTGACACCTCTTCGTGTAAACTTTCTTATCCCAAATCCTTTCACTTTAATTTGCCTTCAATCTCATCCGTCACTCCAAATCTTGATTCGAAATAAACAGACCCAACAGCTTTATAGATTAGGCTGCTGCCGCAAAGCAAAAGCTCACACAATCTTTAACCCAATCGGAACAAGGCCATAATGCCCCACAAACCCAAGATGCATTAGGACATCTTTGGACATTATCGTTCCCGGTCATCTTTGACTTTCATCTAAGCCAAGGCTAATATCAGTCATTCAGCCCTTGAAACCTTTTTTTTTTGTTGGAAAGGTTAGTCCGAATCCGGTTGTTAGAGAGCTAATTATGTGACAGCCTATTAGCAACTCGATAAATATGTGCCCAGCGGAGGAAGGACGTCCACGGGACCCGCAATCCCACCCAGCCATTCGAGAAAAGTTTGCTTTGTGGGGAAAGCGCCTCGCCGGCTTTCCACTCATTCATTAGATATGCGAACCTTGCTCCCGGCTGATTATGACAAAGCACTTTTGCCCAATTGGGTAAATTAGGTGGAAACTGAAAACTAAATGAAACGGAACTTGGCACACGCCCACAATCTTTTTTTTTTTTTTTGGTTGTAGCAACGTCGCTCTAATTTTTAACCCAACCAAAGCCGGAAAAAGGCGGAAGGGAAGAAATAAAATACCGTTTTGACGTTTTACTTTTATTTTTTGGCCGAGTTTTTACAGCGCAGCTCGGAAAACTCGGACCACGAACCGGAGCAATTATTTTGCATTAACGAAAGGGTTTAACATTTGCGTTTTAGCCGACGTTTAACAACAACAAGCCGCACATTACGATGGGGCTTTTGGACTTCTAAAGGGCGGTGAGGGGGCGTGGCCAAGTTGGACAGTTGTCCTGAGGGTTGTACGCCTTGTAATTCGTTTCGTTAAATACCCTGCTAAAGCGGTACATAAACCAATCGGGGTATGATAGTCCGCTAAACCATTTAGCTACAAAATATTAAATCAATAGGGAGTTTATTGCGACACAGAAACCAAAAACCAATATGTAAAAATGAAGCTAAGCCAAAAACTTATTAAATATATTTCGAAAATGTATAACGTAAACAAGCAAGAAATGTTTTATCAATACACAAAACACAATTTTCTATTTTAATGAATTATGTATTTATATTGCAGAAATTTATGCATTGATTTAATTATTTTAAAAGCAAGCTTTCAAAAATAACGGTAAAAAATAAGTAAACCAAATAATCTAGGATAATCTGAAGTCGAGTCTCCAGCCTTTAGCATTCCCAAACATTTTTTGTGGCTGCTGCGACGACGACGATAAATTGTTGTAATTAATTTTTATTTAACTGTGAAAATGGAAATGCTCTTTTTTTGGCCGTTTTCAAATTGGCTTAAAATGTAAATTATTATTGTGGCCAGAATCGTGCTACATCATGCCAAAAGGGGCTGGGGATTGAGGTATTTCCCCAGCACTTTGCGATGTCTATTAATTAAGCTACATGTGTGTGGGCAGAACTTCCTCAAACCCCGCCTTTCTGCCTTTGTGGTTGGCAGTTTTGTTAAACCTGGAAAATGGGGGAAACGGAAAAGTGGGCGGGGCAGGCAGCTCCGTGTTGTAAGTGATAATTACAAGTTGGCAAAACTTTTCACACACAACGAGCGACGAGCGACGAAGTCTGAAGGAGACAGACAGCTCCAGCTTTTGCCAAAAAGTAATTACAATTAAGCCGACGAGCATTTGGGAACTCATTTTATTAGTTTATCCATCTCCACTCCATCTACTCAAAAAGTTGCAAGTATTTTTCAAGAATTTATTAAAAAGAAAAGCAGAGACAGAAAAATGATGTACAAAACGCTTCTCTAATTTCCAAAAAAAAAAAAAAAGAAAATGAAAGGAACTCACCAAACAAACTTTTACGCTTTGAATCCTTTCACTTAAAGCCCTGGCTGTCTGTCCCCTCTGCAGAAAGTTTTGTCTAAGTATTACCAATAAAATTGATGGAGAAATAGTCCAGAACTATTTGGCTGTAGATAAAAACTTTTCCCGCACACACAGGGATATTACAAGTGGGTTGGAGGAACAGGCCAACTGCAGCTGGAGAATAGGAACAAGCTTAGCTTAATATTAAAATTCGCCTCCCCTTCGAAGAAG